AATATTAACTAAATGATTGAATCACAAAATTAATATTAACTCAATGATTGAATCACTAAATTAATATTAATTAAATGATTGAATCTCTATATAAGTAATATTAACTAAATTATTCAAAAAGTAAAAAAGACCTTTTCTTCAAATTTACAAAATTCCAAATTTTTTCCAAGGAGAAAAAAAACTGTGAACATAATGAACGAAAATTCTGAGGAAGAAAATGCTATGAAATAAATCGTATATTTCCTTTTTTAAAAAACAATTTTTTTCATTTTTTCCACTTTTTTTTATTTTCTTTTTTGTAGGTTACGACCGTAGTTAAAGTGGCAACGAAATGTACTCTAGTGACCGTTATACACCTTGAAAAATGTACTTGTACTTTTAAATAACGCGAAATTACAATACTAAGTCCCCTGTGGACATTTATGTTTCTGCAACTTATAATGTTGAACTTCTCTGGGGGTAAACCGCATTCACTTTATTACAATCTAACTTCGTTGTAAACTTATTAATCTCGACATTTTCAGACAATAAAGATAAAAAAAAATGAAAAATATACATAAGTTAACAAAAATAGAAACTACCTATATATAAAATTTATTTATCAAAATAAGTGAAAATTTTAATTTTTCTATAAACTATTGAATTAACACAAAATTTTTAGGGAGAAATCCCTGAAATTTTCGTGTTCATTAAATAATTTATAGAAAAACTAAAATAATTTCTCTTCTTATTTTATTTATTTCTTTTTGAAATTAAATTTAATTTCTCTCTGAAATTTCGAAATAATTTCGAAAAATTATAATAATTTTCTTCTCTAATTAAAAATTGTCAATAAAATAAAACTTATATTAAATTAAATTTGAAGTAAATTTTAATAAATTAAATTAAATTCAACTGAACGTTTTATATATTAATTATTAATATTTAAATAACTGGTTTTTGTTTTATATTAATATTCCGAAAAATTCAATATTTAAATTTAAATATTAAACGTTTAATTTTTAAACGCTACGTTTATTAGCAATATGCAGATTAATTAGATAATTAATTCAATATTAATCCTCTTTTCTTGTGAAATAATCAAAACGATCAAAACTGTTATAATTAGCTTATTTAAGCACTTGACTTTTACCTAAAATCACATTGTAATTGTAAATTAAATTCCACTCTAAATTATAAAAATGAAAATAGTAATAAAAATAAAAATAATAATAGAAATGAAAATAGTAATAAAAAAAATAATAATAATTATTATTATTATAATTATAATAATAATAATAATTATTATTTATTTAGATATTATAAAAAATAATATTAATAATAATCCCTATGCAACAAAAAAAATTATTCTAAAAATAAAAATAAAAATAATAATTGTAATTAGCCGAAATGAATTTAAATCGAAAATGTAAAATTTAAATTCACTCACGTATAAAAATAATATTTTTTCCTCCCAAAAGAAAATCACTTCTGATGTCACTTTAAATTCACCTCCCCTCACCTATATTTTTCTCGAATCTTGAAAATGTAAATCTATAGAAAATATGAAACTATATATTTTTCCATTAAAATAATAAACGAGATTTTTTGAAATAAAAATTAAACTATATATAATATATAAAATTTTAATGAAAAATGTCATATCAAAATTTTTTTTTTTATTTTTAGACAAATGTGAAAATTGGTATAATAGTGATATTTTCAATAAAGCTAATTCTAACCCAAAAAGATCTTATATGTGTGTATATATATACTAAACTGAGGAGATTCACGTACATTTTACGACAAAGTTATTCAAGTGGAAAGTAAACTTTGATATAGTATGATAACTTTCAAGAGTTTCCATTTTGGATAATTTATGCAACTATATGGTTTTCAAATCGATATTTGGTTCAATCACGCACAAACGTTTTTATCTGTGTGATTAAATTTTCATTGCTCCCGAAATTTTTATTAAATAATAAATCTTCTTCAATAAATGTTAAATGTTATTTAAAAGAAAGGAAAAAAAATCAATTTCTATGAATAGAAAATTTCTTTCATCAATTTTTGGGAATTTTTCTTATTAATTAACTAACAATAAATGTAATGCAATGGAAGTAAATTATAATTAAATGGTATATTAATTATAATTAATTGAATATTAATTAATTAATTAACAAAAGGTAAGAACTACAATTAATTGATTGAATTAATAAATAAATTAATTAATAAAGAAAAAAACTACAATTAAATTGTTAAATTAACTAATTTATGAATTAACCAATAAATTTAAAACTACAAGAATATTTACGATCAGAATTATGACGAAGAGCCGACAAAATAAAAATTGTGTTCATTTTGAAAATTTCTAATAAAAGAACTGTAATCGTGAGGGTATTTTTTTTAACCGACATTTAAAAATAATAAAACCGATTTTAAAAGAGAGAAAAAAAATTTTGTGACGCTAAATTATAATTGCCTTTTAATAGCAGGTTCGAATTTTTCATAAAATCCGTTGTTAAAAACCTTTTACTGTTTTATTCTCCATTCTTTTTTTTTGCGAATTTATTTTCATGAATCGCTTTTATGCCAACATATGTTTGCATAGATATAAAAATTCTCCTGCTTATTTCTCATGGATCATCTAATTTTATGTTATCCCTTTTGAAATCTATTTGAGAAAAATGTTTCTAACGTCCAATTCAATGAATTTTATTCCCCGCGCGCTATACAAACGTCAATAAATTTAAAATTTTAGTTTTTTTCTCTCGCAATTTAGTTCTTTATCTCATTCGATATTTTTCCTTTTTTATTCACGTTTGATACGAATTGTTTTATTTTTAGTTTTCGAAAACTATTTTTTTTTTTTGTAAAAACCGCATAGAATTTTTTTTTCTTTATAAAAGAAATATAATAATTAAAATAATTATTTTTCATTAATATAATTTCTAATAAATAATTACTAATATTGAGAAATACAATTTATTTATAAATATTAATATTAATAATATTATTAATATTAATTCGGACTCCAGTAAAGTAGAAAAAATTTCTACTTCCAGGGAGATTCGAACGCATGTCAGTTTTGCATTCTATAATTAGACGCTTTAACGACCACGACCAACGCACACTAATATTAATAAGTTAATATTAATGTAATTTTTTATATTAATTTAACATTTTTTTTACCAACAATTTCTACAAATTTATTAATTAATGAAACTAGAAATTAGTCTGAAATAATATTTTCTACAAACTACTACAATATTTATTCTTACAATATTTACACTAGAGTGTTTATTTATTGGAAAAACTATATTTTTAATTGAAGAATATTTATTTAATTCAAATAATCATTATATTAATTAAAAATCTCCAAAAAAGGTTACAAAATGTTATACTTAAACAATATTAAAAATATTATAAAAATATAGTCACACTAAAGAAATATTTACTAATTGAAACAAAAATATAATCTTTGAATTAAATAAATATCATTTCCCACACCTATGACCTTGCTATAAATCTATATACAACATAATAATCTTCTAGTAAAGTAAAAGTAAAAGTCTATATCTGGGAAAATTAGATTTCAGTCAAATATGATACAGAAAATGAATTCTAGATGAAATTGATCAAAAGCAATCGAAAGCTTTCAATAGATATAACATTCCAATTAAAAGTGAGTTGTGAAAAGCTTGGAAATATATATGTATATATATGAGTGTCATATATCGGGATGCATGCTTTTGAAAAGCCATACGTGCAATTGAAAACCATGTTTACCGACGGATCGTTCGAACATTGAAATTAAACTAAGAAAAAGTTTAATACCAATTATTGAAATAATCGTTTGCGCGAAGGGGCAAAAAAAAAGGAAACAAGTTCTCTGTTCAGGAAAGAGAAAAAAATTAGAAAAAATTAGAAAATAATTTAGAAAATATTAGAAACAGAGATTAATATATCTCTTTATATTATATTTGAATCGCGAGAAAAATTAGAGAAAATAATTTCAATAAATTAATTAAGAATAGAAAATTAAATTCACTCACAAAAAAATCAATTCTATTAATCGCTAGACAATTGATTTCAAAATTCATTTCTTTACATTCTAAAAATTTTTCCACAATTTTTAATTTTTTAGGATTTCTACTTTTAAATTTCAATATAAATAATTTTTTTATAAAATTATTAATTTTTTTAAAAATTATTAAACATAATAATTTATTTTCCGTTTACAATAAAATAACCTAAATAAATAAAATAGTAGGAAGTAATTAAGTTAATAATAAAAAAATAATAAATATAATAAACTATTAACGATAATTTACTATTTATTTAAAAAGGAAATTAGTAAATATACAGAAAATAATGTTTACCAGTGATTGCTAAACTTTTTAATAATTATATGATAATATAACAAAATTATTTACCAAATATCTGAAATTGAGAACAATATAAACTAGGGGAAGCACTCATTCTTATACCTCTTCCAAGTCACCTTGATTTCTGATTGGCTAATTTTCTCGCCATCTGTCGGAGGCGTCACTGAACTATAACGGCGCGAAATTTAAATTTTTTTCGTTTTTGCGCATTCTTGTTGCGATTTTTACTATTTCCAAAGCAATGTTCACAATTTTCAAAAGAGAATTTGAGAAAAAATTAATCCTTTTCTACTAAAATTGTATTTTATTACTTTGGAGGTAATAAATCTTGCTGCAGAAAGGCGTAATTTTTTATTTTGTAAATAGAAAATGTTGAATAAAAGTCTTTACCTAGAGAGCACTTGGTTGGTAATCGATCCAGATTTGCGCTTGTGAGAGATTTCCCAGCGTTATTTAACGATTATTTCCTACAATTTTAGCAATCACTGGTAATTTTTCATTATGTTCAGTGTGTCAATAACGATTAATAGATTTTTTTTGTTTTTTTGTGAAATATTAAGAAAAAGACGTACACGACGACGGTAAATAAAAAAACTAAAAGGATAGTGCATTTTTTGTGCAGGTGCTACTCACTCTAAAAAGACCTCGGAATCGCTTCGTGGCAACACCAACCTCGGCAAGACGATCGCCTTCTTCCTTCTGCCCTTGAGACTTTGGACGGTGAAACTTTGTTGAAAATCAGGCGCCGGAAGCGGTGAATGTGGACTCAGGATGGTTATTCGTCGATCACTACCTCCAGGGCTCGTCAATGAAAACATACCCGATGGCGGTGGTAAACTCAAATGCTGAGGTAATCTCCTCTCAAGACCCATATTAGCAAACAGACCACGACGAACTTCAGCATTAAGACTCTCCTCACGATGAAGATTATCACTACTCTTCGATTCAAGTGCAACAATTCGCCGCATATCCTTTCTCGATGATGTTAAAAAACTTCGATATTGCCCCTTAACACCAGAGCCAATGTGCGTTTCCGATGCCGATGATAATGATTCAAGTGATCTTGAATCCTCACAATAACGATCGTCGGCACTCAAAAAATTTCTCGACGTTCTCAATGATTCCATTGAACGTGCCGTCACATGACTCGAGCCAATTGTCAATAAATTTTGTTTTGGTATTGTCTTCACTTCGGGTTCATATTCCTCTTGACTTGAACTCGATTGGGGACTACGATTTGTCGACATAAATAATCGTGCACCACCATAACGTGCAAAACTACATCGCGGTGGATTCTCAGTTTCATTTGATGACGATGAACTTTGAATTTGTATTCGGGCTGTTGTTGTATGCCTTTGTGTTTCACTTTTGTGTAATTGAACACGCGCCTCTGAGATCTCGGAAATTTCCGACATCTCTTCAGAGACATCGGGAAGTTCATTGTCAGTTGATTTCTCCCTACCGGATATGCGGTTACCCTTCTCATCCGTGACAATTGGCTCTGTTTCTTGTTCATCTGGCGGTATATTTTCCACCTCATTCTCTGATGTGCATTCCATTGTTTCTGATTCGTCATTTGAATTAACTTTCTTGAATGAACGACTTGATAATAATTTCGCTGATGTTTGTCGTTTCACAAATTTATTGACAAGCGTTAATGATTCTCGCATATCATCAGCGTCATCCTCTTCCATGTTCTACTTCTTTATTAATTTTTCTTCTTGTTCACCAAATTAAACAACAAAAACATATTGAAATTAAGCACATTAGAAACGAAAGAAAAAAAATAGATAAAGAATTCGTCAGAAAATCATTTGTGAGCCGTTTTTTTTATTCAACTTCCGGATTGTTGGATCCAAAAAGAGTCTTTGATGAACATGGGTTGTTTTGTTTGTTTTCTTTCTAGTTCAGTTACATGTTGATCCGTACAAAAGGTCACAAGATAGGAAACTCGAAATCCTTTTTTACCCGGGTCGACATGTCTCTTTCTTTGTTTCTGATTTTTTCCTTTCTTTTTCTTGTCCGTACTGTCTTTGCTTCCACTCTGAAAATCAATCAAGCTTTTCGAAAAGGATATCTTTATGTAAATATAAAAATTGATTGTGTTTGGAGTCGTGAAGAAATGGCAAATTGCCGGAGGTTATTTTCAATTTAAGAATTATTAAAAATATATAATTATTTTCAAAAGGAAAAATATAATAAAAGGAGAAAAAATGTTTGTAGAAAAATAATTGCCCTTCGGAAACTGAAGAGGAAACTTAACATCCTATTAAAGAGGAAAATTAATAAGAAAAGAAAACAGTCATTCATTGTCGCCATCTGTCGGAGGCGTCACTGAACTATCAATTAAAATGGCGCCAGATGACATCATAATGACGCGAAATTGAAATTCGACGAAATTCAAAATTAAATTGACGTTATTTTTAATGCATATAAAATTATAAATATAAGAATTTATTTAAACATAGGTGATTATTTCGAAAAGAGAGAACTCGTGAAAAAAATAATAACAGCATCGCAATAAAAGTTGCGACAAGTCACTGACTTCTATTTCGTTAATTTTATGCCGATTGTGAGCAAACAGTTGTGTTGCCACCTGGCGGAAGCGTCACTGAACTACACAATAATAAAAGCGCGAAATTCAAATTCAATAAAAATTGAACCAACATTACAATAAATAAATAATAAAATAAACATTATAAACAAATAAGTAATAAAATAAACATATTATAAACAAATAAATAATAAAATAAACAAATAATAAATAATTAAGTAAACAAATTCATTTAAATACAATTATTGTCGAAAGAGAAACCTACTAAAAAGAAATGTTTGTAGAAAAAAATATTATTCTCCCAACTAAAGAGAGGGAAACACACAAAACATCCTATTAGTATAGTTAAAGAGCAGAACTAATGAGAAAAGGAAACAGTGATCGATAAAACTTGGAGAAAAATCTTCCTTCTTTTAGTGGCACTTTTCTTTGAGAATTTTTATTGTTATACCCCAAGGGTGAATGCCTTCAGCTAAATAGCAAATCGTATCATAAAAGATAAGGGAAAATGTCCCTGTATAATGTGAAAATTATTCCTAAAGCTTTTCTTCTTCTATTAATACAAAGAACAATTAATTTAAATAAAAAATTCTCTATTTCTTTTGCAATAATTCAAAGTTCGTAACTAAAAAAGTTTTGAAATTACTATTTTTCAAAATGGAAACTTTTTAAAAATTAGAATTTTTCAAAAGTCAAAGTTTTAGAATATTAGAATTTTTTTAATCAAAACTTATGAAATTAAAATTTTTCAAATGGAAAGTTTTAAAATTAAAATTCTTCGAACGGAAAATTTCTATATTGACATTTTTCGAAAGAAAAGTATAAAATTAAAATCTTTTTACATTTTGTTATTATTGTAATTTATTTACTTCTTCTGTTCGTCTATATTAGACAAATAAGTAAATAAAATAATAAATAAATAATTATAAAATAAAATTACAATTAGTTACAATTATTTCAAAAATTCAGTGACGCCTCCGCCAGATGGCGAGAAAATTATTTCGAAAATTCTATATTTAAAAAAAATCCATCATGAAACCTCTATAAGCTTTTACATTACTATAGATAAAAGAGACTAAGTTTGTAATAATATTTACACACTTCGTCATAAAATGATCATCTTCCGGTAATAATGCGGTTTTATAAACATTATTTTAATACTTCATTTATTTCTCTTAAAAACAAATTCTCCCTTCGCAAATTTTACTCATTTTTTTCATCTTTGAAATCTGTCCCCCCTCTTTTCTCTCTCATCACCCCTTTGAAAATAGTCTAAAAAGAAGTCCGTCAGTCGTAAAAAGTCGGTCGCACGTTCCAAAATTAAAACACACATGCCAGGCATTTGACACAATTACGAAAAAACGAATGAAATTCGAGTTTTTTTCGAAAGAGATTTTTTTGGGAAATAAGACGTACGTGGATGAAAATAATTCATATGTAAGAAACTTCATTTATTATTTATTCCCTACAGGATTTTTTTTCTTACTTTATGAGACTCCGTGGTCTGTTAAATGGTTTGAATAATTTTTTTTCTGTTTTTTCTGCTCACTACTTAGTTTTATCTGCGAATTTATCGTTAAAAACTTTTTCCGTGACACTGGGGAAGCTTCTTCGCGAAAATGATATGCAAATATTGTATATATACTCGGCGAAAAACATTTTCTATATTGAAGAGAACTTTTGCAAATTAATTACCGAGCTTGAAAAATATTTTCAACAGAAGTGCAAATTACAATACTGTTGTTAGGAATTAATTTTTGCAAACTTTTCTTTCAAAATTCAATTAATAACTTATTTTACTTTTATTCTATTGCTTTCTTATTATATTGTTTTTATTGTATAGTTGTTCTATTTTATTATTTTATTTTATAGTTGTTATATTTTATTATATTATTTTATTGTTACTCTATTTTATTATAATTTTCTTTTATTATTTTCCTTTATTTATATATTTATTTAATAAATTGAATTATTAGATGAACGTTCAATAAACGTTACGTCAGAAGAGCAATTCTTTATTTAGAATAAGTACAATTTCTTTTAATAAATTTAAATTTCGCGCCATTAAAGTTGATAGTTCAGTGACGCCTCTACCAGATGGCGAAAATTTTTTGCTTATAATCGACATAAAATTCACTAATTATTAATAATATAATTACCATTAACAAAATAATGACGATTATAATATAAATAGTTAAGATTATTAATAATAGTTTAATTGTTATTCTAAAAATCGTAATTCTAATAATTATCAAAAAAAGAAAAATTCTTATCATAAACAATACAATTATTTATGATCAGAATTTTCGGAAAGTTTGATTTTGGCGATTGTGAGCAAAGAGTTTTGTTGCCCTCTAGCGGAAGCGTTACTGAACTACACAATAATAATGGCGCGAAATTCAAATTCGAAGAAACTAGAAATTGAATTATTAGTAAATAAATATAATTATAAATGTCTTTAATTCAAATATTTATACCCATTAATTAACCTTTGTGAATTTATTTATTTTCTTCCATCGGAAAAACCATTTTTCTTCAAACAATTGACAGTTATAAAACGTGAAAGTCAATCACCTATTTTGAACCTAAAAGAGAATTATCCTATTTTTTTTCCTTTCTGTCCTCATTGATTCGTGGAAAGGCCTTCGAAACTAAATTGAAATATATTATCAGATTTTGCGCTAAACACGAACATTGTGCAATTATTCGATTTTGTCACGCGACCATGACCATTGTGTCAAAATATATCTATATATATATGTATATAAATGCAAGTACGAAGTCTATTTCCCCGAGAGAAGAAAGCTTTTGACTTTTCGAGGTCCCAACCACGTGTTCAGAGATAAATTGGCTCTTTGAGAGTCTTTCATCCTTCTTATAATTGAAAGTATATATCCGTTTGTCTAGGACAGAAAGAAAACGAAAGAAAAAAGAAAAAAAAGAATGTCAAAGATAAAATCTCAATCAAGAAGCTCCGATATTAACGCCTCTTGTTTATCTACTGCTTCAACTCACGCGAAGAAATTTACCCGATTAAACAAATTATACACACGAGAGGGAAATTAATTTTCAACAGGGAAAACACTCTTTTTTTCTTTTTCATATTTTTTTTAATTCATTTCCCCATGTAGATATGAGATTCGATATTCCAATTCAAAACAAACAGTGATTAATCATGAGGCAATTTTATTTGCAGCAAATATTTTATTTTCTACAGAGCACGCTCAATAAAATTCAAGTTCTTTACTGCTTTTTTTTTCTCCCCTCGATCAGTAAGTCAAGGACATGTGGATTTTTATATTTATCATAATCTCTTTAGTGAACTATTAACCTCATATATAAATTGTGAAGAATGCATTAAAAAACATTTTAATTTCTTTTAAATTGCCTGTTATTTAGAGTAATTAATACTGTCACAATTACTACTCGTATCAATGTTAAAAACATAAATATTCGAGCAGGTGTTTTATTAATATCAATTTATTATTAATTGCCCGTTCATGATTAAATAAATAAATAAATAAATAATTATTATTATTAACTTATATTATTGAGAATTAATGATAATAATTATTAATAACTATTGAAACTATTAATAAAAATTAATAAAGATACAAATTAATAATAATAGTAATAATAACTAATAATAATTATTAATAATAATAATAATTATAATAATTAATAATAATAATATTTACAACGATAGTAATTAATAATACACTAGAATTTCAAAAAGTGTCTGCCAATCCCGTCAATTTTACTGTGATTATGAGCCAAAAATGATGTTGCCATCTAGTGGAAGCGTCACTGAACTACAAAATAATAATGGCGCGAAATTAAAATTCGATGAAATTGAAAATTGAATCAACGTTACTTATAAAGCCTAATACATAAAAAAAATTCATTTAAATACAATCATAAAAAAAGAAACCTACTAAAATATTATTTGTACTTGAAACATTAATTTTGAAAATTATTTATAAATACGTTAATAGTAATTATAATTATTTTAATAATAATTGTCATTGTATTGTCTATAACAATAATTTAAAATATTTTATATATATTAAAAAGAATGTAAAGAATTTCTTTATTATGAAAACTTATAGAAAATATAATTATTATTCTAATAATTAACAAGATAATTATTTTATTTATTTCATTCTAATGTTTTGGAAATATTTGTCCATTAATTTCGAAAATTTTCTGTAAATCCCGACAATTTTATGTCAATTGTAAGCAAAGAGTTTTGTTGCCATCTGGCGGAAGCGTGACTGAACTATACAATAATAATGGCGGGAAATTAAAATTTTTTTAACAAGTAAAAATAAAAATAAACAAAGAATTAAAAAATTCTCCTTAAAAGGAATTTTTTTATAAACTATAATAGAACATTACATTAAAGTGAAAGAAAATTAGCTAGAAAATTAATTTTTATTTTGACTGTATTGCTTTCTCGTTCGTTCTCTCTTTTTGTTTTTATTTTTATG